ATATATGTATGGGGATGTGTAATAACGTCACAATGTGAACACATGCACACACGGCCATATATTGGAATGATCTATGTGCACGCAATTTTACATGAATATGAGTAGGCAGGAAAAGGTTTCAAATAATGGTTAGAATAATGATAATACATTTACATAATCGTAATGAAAATGACATGTCGTGGGTTAAATATTTTACGAAAAGTACCAATACAGTTTACTCTTATTACCATATTGTCAGAGACCTAAAGTGTATGTAATAGGGAACATAATGACGAATAATGACGATGATAGGATTACACAATGCCATTTAGAAAGTGGTCAAATGTAACATGTGTTATATTTGGGAAGTCGCAGTAGCTGAGCGGGTTAGGCGGCTGACTTTGTGTGCTGGCGATTAGGTACCTGACTCTGAGGGTGTGAGTTCGAATCCCGGATGGGGCTCAACTCAAAAAGTACTAGAATTTGTACTTTACTAAGAAAGTGTAATCCCAAATATAACACATGTTACATGACGATGATAGTAAGCGATATAACATTTTGAAAATTAACTTGTAATAACAGAATAATGCTGAAACTTAGTTTCATAATGTATATGGTGGCGTGTTTAGTCAGTGTTCATATAATAATTTATATTTGTATGAAGGGTACACTATCGTATTATACATGTTATCGAAAATAGCCCTTGTAACCGTGCAAAGTTACCTGAAGCAATACGATCAATTATCAATTTATTGATTAAGTTAAGCGTCAAGCATGTTAATGACGAGCCAACAGAATGCGTGTTCCTTTTACCAATATTGAAAACACGTACACATCAAATTGTGTTTAGCCTCATCTCCAGTACAATATGTGCTGATAGAGAATTAGGGCAGTAACTGATCTTGTTACGGTCTATGTTACGTTGTCTCCACACTAAGTCACTCCGTAACAATGTGATTTGAATTTCAAACAAGTGAAATTAAAAACGTCAAGTTTCTCTTAAACAACGGTCTAAATTTTTGGCAACCAGCGAGACGGAATACTTAGCAGTTATTGTTTTTATACTGACAAATCAAACGTTAATACCTATTGCGCTTTAACATTTCTAGGTTACGGTGAACATTAGACATATTTGTAGTGATTATTTGTAATTGTTCGCCCTGACCGCTGCGTTGTGGCGGTATCATATTATGCATTGAGGGAATGAAATCGATAACATGTTCTGATAATCTCCAGCGTCAAAATACAGTACTTTTCATTTTCGTACCTCTATAACAAAATATAGCAAGCACTTTCTCATATAGTAAAATCAAGAACTTACATTCACAAAGTACGTATATACGTATGTAAACACACTTTAACACATAATGTGACAGATGCGTTCTTCGCCACGTGAAGTAAAGTTCTCTAATATTCTGTCTCATAAAAATCATAAATATCATGAGGTTTATTTTTATACCTAAAACAATTGTATATTAATACATAAATTCAATTAAAGGCATTGGTATAACAGTACAATAAAAGATTGTACTGAGACTAGGAGACTATTGATTGGAATTTGTGAACTCATGGTATGATACATATACAATTTCATACGTCTCAATAGAAACGGTGTTGTTAACAGCTTCTTTAATTCTTTCAACCGATCTCGGTGCGACATGTTACTGAGTGTCTGTATTTGTCGACTCAGACCCTGCTCTATAAAGCATGCCCATACAGGGTGGTAAAGGTGCACATTAAACACACTACTTCGGAACAGTCAAGTTGCAGTGAAGTGCACTAACTTCAAATGAGGAGGTATTTCTTTTTGGAGTCGTATACACAAATACGTGTTACCTTCCAATTAGACAATACTATTGTTATATTTCAACTGTGGAGAACGTTTGTTTTTTCTATGCGAAGAAAATATGTAATTGGTTTCTCGTCATGCCCAATACGTCAATATTGTAAAGGTTTTAAAAACATATCCGGTGTTGGAATATATATTTCTAAAAATGTTACTTATAATGAAAGTAATTTAGTAACACTTGACCATAAATAAACAAAAAACATGTTAAACAAAAGCGTGTTTTGTTTTAGAAATCTTTTTATCAATTGGGGGACAGTATAATTGTCATCGAATTTACACTGAAATTATGTTTGATTAGAGATTCTTCAAGTAACATCTATGGTTCATCAATCTTATATGAAATAACGTTCAAAAGTATCATTTAAAAATAAGAAATTATGTATGTGGATGCCTTTCCGGGACGGCCATTTAGATTCTGAGAATTCTAAAGTGTACGTACATACGTGAAACTTATTAGGAACTCTCCACATGTAAGTACGTTAATCCAAGTCTGCAACTCGTCAACTGGGAGAGATATGTCCTGCACCCGATCAGCGGACAATTGTGTTAATAATATGTCCGCCCCAACGCGATCCTACACTCCAGCTCACTCCAGCTCACTCATACCCTCTCCAAAACACTTAGCGATATTCGAGCTCATATAGCGAGGTAGATCAAGTCCGACATCATATCTTAACTTGGGATGATACATTCTTGGCCTGATACGATATTTTATTTGTTTTATAAATGTTTAAATAAATGTTTTTGGGTTAAATTTTTTAATTTAATCGTATTAGTAGTGATTTTAAGCCCGCTTCACAAAATGCCCCCGTACTTCGAGAAAGATCGATTCTGTGTACTTTTTCATTTCAGTTGAAACTCTTCTTGTAAATATATTTACATATTTGTAGATGTATATATTCGTGGACTAATTGATATAATTACAATATGAATTGTTCCGATTTTTTTGACAGCAGAGTATATGAACAGCCGACCTAAGAAAATATACTTTGAAATTGGACTAGATAATTATATCAAAAGCGTTATCTGAAAGTTACCAGGCTGAAAACAGTCTCGGAAACACTTCAAAGATACGATCCAGATGGCAACTAGGATACAAGCATCGAACACATCGCCATCGACATTGTTTGTTAAATGTCAGCCACCAACCAACATGGATTCCTACGTACCTATACCCCTCGGTTTGGATTAAACATGTTCATCATAGCTTCAATTGGCTTTCCCGTTCAGTCAATTATTAACTTAAAATTGAAGACTTCTTATGTTTTAAACCTAGTAATAAAACACACAAAGCAAACCTTATTTGTAATATATACCTAGTGTTTAGAAAACATTCAAACATTTTTATAGAAATCAACTTGTTTAAATCATCATCTTCTCGACCTGTTTTGCAACGTAAAATAAATTGATAGTTTAATCATTCTTTGGGATATTTTTAAGTTTCGAAATTTGAAATATTACTTTGAATATAGACTTGTAGGACGTTGCCTGTTTCATAGCATGGCGAATGACAGAAATGATTGATCCCTCTTATCAATGGTGTTGTTGTCGATGTCACCCTGTAACACTTGACATGGAACAACAAGTAACTAAATCATTAAGGAGGTACAGATCGACGAACAATTGCTTTCATTATGTCAACACATACTGCTGACATTCGTCAAACTGATAAATTAATATCATAAGCATTGTGTAATAACATTCGCATTTTGACCTGTTACCTTGTGCCCTATATAACCTTTATATGGACGGGAACTAGGTACGTGGCCTATTGGCCCATATCAACAAGCACTTTGTATATTGTAAAATAAAAATAAAATTTGACTCCTTCGAACGTTGTTGAATGGAATTCGAGTCCTGAAATTATCCTGGAATTTCATCGCGTTTGAATACTTTCACTGACAAGCTTCTTACTCTAAAAGGGCACAGTAAAATGTCGCATCAGCTACACATTGAAATTGATTAATACTTATAAGAAATGTCTGATTTCTTCTGATCTGCTTACAAGGCGTGTTCGGTTTATCATCATGTAAACCTCCTGGGTGTTACTGGGTGTTACTGGGTGTTACAGAGCATATGTCTATGGGACATATATGAAATAGGACTCTCCCGCGAGAGAGCGAGCCTAGGCACACACCCACATTTCTGTATATGAAAAAGTTTACATACCAAATCATTACCCTACTAAAACATCGTTTTACATGCTAAAACATCTGCAACGTAAAACCTCTTTAAGCTTAGTGGTTTACATGCCAAACATCTACAAACTAAAACGTCTTTATGCCAAATTGTTTACATGTCAAAACATCTGAGGACAAAAACGTGTCTATACAATAATGTTGGCATACCACAGAAAAAAGCATTTATGCAATAATGTTTACATACCAAAACAAACGTAGATTAAAACTATGTACCAAAACCTTTACAAGCCAAAACATCTAGACTTGTATATGTCAAGACATCATATCCCGATACATCCACTAAGATAAGCAACTGTGCATCTAATCCCTTGTCTAATACCTTGGCAAATGATTGGTTCAGTCAGAAATACTCCAATAAACACGAGAGCAGAAGGACAGCACACTTCGTTTGAAATAGCTTAAATCCCTGTCACATTCAGATTCATTCACTCTATAATTAACAACATACGGTGGCACAAGAACATCAAAAGACACGAATTTCAATGTTTTCACTGTCAAACTGAACGGAATAATCTTTGTAATGCTACAAAACACTTTCCATTACCATAGGGCATTTCAGCTGAAAACACTAAAATGTACGAGAATGATCATAACGTGAGCATGTGTATATAAATAGATGCCAGGTGCTCACGAATAGGTTAGCTCACCCTTTGTTCTCATGACAAACACACGCAAAGGCAAGTCACTTGTTCACCTGAAAAGTTTACGGAAACAGGAAAACTGCATGATACATACTCACTGACTGTAAATGTGAAGTTTATCTAATATTTTGAAAGCTTTATTTGTTCCTTCATAACAAAGAGCATGACTTATATACATAAAGAAACAGATAACACTTATCAACACCTTTTGGGCAAGAGCAATATGATGGTCTTTGAAGTCTTCAAAGAAAGAGCATTCTTGATTGTACATGAAAAGTTGTGAAATGTGGACAACAAAGGCTAGAGCTGTTGGGGGATTGCTCGACATGAAGGGAAACTTAACTGTTGGAAGGTTGAAGTCATCACTCTTGTCATACGGTCATGTATACTAGTATATGTTTTGTGGCTCTCAATCTTTATACATAGATCTAAAGACGAAACAGATAATGCTTTTTCACTGGTCTATTTCTTAAAGTTGATAAATCAGTGGAAGAAGGTGTTTTATGACCACAGCTGAACTATACCAGGTTTTCGGTGTTCAGTTAATCGTCTTAACCGAATTCTCTTGCATTTGACATTCTAGATGACTTCAATAAATATTGGATTATGATTGGTTAATTAAAGTCATTCAGAGGTATATGATCACGTTATATACCTCTCATTTTCCAACAAAGTATGTATTTGTTTTAAATCTTATTAACGCGGTTATGGTAGAATGGAGATAAAACGTACTGTGTTGGAAAATCAGAGGTGTGTATCGACATTATAATAGCTCTAACATTTTTATTTAGAGATATTATAATGTCGTTATATACCTCTGATTTTCCAACACAGTATGTTTATCTCCTAATTGCCAACCCGAGCAGAAATTATCTCGTGTGTAGCAGACCAGCAGTAGTTTCTTGTTACTGATTACTCCTTATGATAGTCATGTGATATGAATAAACATGAGTGAGTGAGTGAGTTTTACGCCGCTTTTAGCAATATTCCAGCAACATTACGGCGGGGGACACCAGAGATGGGCTTCACGCATTGTACCCATGTGGGAAAGTAACATCCATGCATCATCCGCATCACTATACCAGATTCTGTGCGTGAGGTACATACAGCATTTGGTATTTTAATATTGTTAGAACTTTTCTTTTAACAGGCTTTTCTTTGTTTCTTATGTACTGTTGACGAAACATACTTGTGTTTTGTATGGGTATTTTTGTTTGATAGTTGTTTCACACACGAATATATTCTTGTCAAACATAATTTTAAAAAACTAAACTACATCTCCTTTCGATATGACTGAAGTGGTTTTCGAGCTGTAACTTTTTATCATCTGCTGCTGACCTCTGGGTATACTTTTTCAATATTTAGAACTTATGGATTTGAACTTCTAGTACTGAAATGAGAGTCTACCAAGCGGTGAGCCACGCACCGCTTGCATTTTGCATTTTGCATTTAATGTATTGATACAGATGTAAACATGGCGAATATGCCGACGTCGTTCACGAAACGTCGCGAGTGCATAACAAGTACCAAGTTGTCCTACTTCCCATGGTCCTTAGTGCCTTTGTCCTTCAGTTGGTTAACCCCAATCTGTTGACTGACATGGGGAGAGTATCTGGGTTTGCTGCCAGGAATACAGCCCTTCTGATACTAGGGTAACGTTGGGGATTCTTCGCAGTCTCTGAAAGGTTCAGCGCTTCCAGGGTGAACTCGCAGTCGATGACTGGCCTGCATGTAAAGGGGACAACGGCCCTGGACTGACGATGAGCCTAACCAGGCTGAATGTCCCAGGATCACCCGAACCCTCTCTGCTGCATTTATTTATTTTAATCTGAAAATAATAAAAATAAACAAATTCATTTCTATTATGATAAAAAATTCCTGCTAAAAGCAGAGCGCATTTTAATATTTCGACTATATCGCAAGGTGAGAATGTCCCGCCCCACAGGTGGCACCTGATACAAACACATGCACGTTACAGTCAATTATTCACCTGAATATACACTGGAACTCGACACCTTAAGTCGTAGTGATGTGTACTTTTAATTATTTCATGCTTCTTGAGTACCGGTGTCCAGACAGTTCAACCTTGACGGGACGATGACAGAGAGTAGCGATGTCCAGACAGTTCAACCTTGACGGGACGATGACCGAGAGTAGCGATGTCCAGACAGTTCAACCATGACGGGACGATGACCGAGAGTACCGATGTCCAGACAGTTCAGCCATGACGGGGCGATGACCGAGAGTAGCGATGGTCAGACAGTTCAACCATGACCGGACGATGACGGAGAGTACCGATGTCCAGACAGTTCAACCATGACGGGACGATGACCGAGAGTACCGATGTCCAGACAGTTCAACCATGACCGGACGATGACCGAGAGTAGCGATGGTCAGACAGTTCAACCATGACCGGACGATGACGGAGAGTAGCGATGTCCAGACAGTGCAACCATGACGGGACGATGACCGAGAGTACCGATGTCCAGACAGTTCAACCATGACGGGGCGATGACCGAGAGTAGCGATGTCCAGACAGTTCAACCATGACGGGACGATGACCAATAATCATCCCTGAAGCAACTATTTCATATTTTGTTTTAAAGATGTAATTCCTTTTAAATCTTATACAGTTTATGTCTATTCTCGTTATCGTCCGTCTTATATGCCAAAAAATCGTACACTTCCTGAGCCCGCCTGTGTGTTTACTTACACCGAGGTGATGTTGATACAGCGACCGTCATATTTATTTGTCATTGAGAATATACATCCAACTCTATCCCTCGTCATTCACCACCCCAGCTGATGGTAAACCTGGCCAATTAGCCAATTAGAGTAGAGCCCTTGACGGGGCCCACAACTGGGGTCACCCAAGGATATGCAAATCTGACACAGTAAGTAAATATTGTGATAGGAAATACCGTTCTCTGGGTGGGATAGTTGGATGACGGGGTTCCTAGCTACCAACAGATGTGTGTTTAACCCAACTCTGCATGTAGCGGCTCCCGATCGCCTGCATCACTATATATCACCCCATCGCACCCCTCTGGTGGACATTACTGTATGTCACACCCCTTTTCATTCATATCGAGCTACCCAGCCCACCTGTCCTGTAGACACAAATCCATCAGACATTCCATTTATTTTTGTGACTGATCGCCACCCATTTGTCGGTTCATCTGCAAATCACACCCGTTTATTCTTATGCCCGCTCCCAACCCGTCCCATCGAGGCAACTGCACATCACTCCCCTCGTATTTGGGGAGGTCCTATCCTTCCCCTCTTCAAACCTTACATCACAATCGCCCATGGCATTATCCCATCTCTACCGCTAACCAATCACAATGATCACCCCTTCCGCATCATTGACCAATCACTACAACTGCCCAAACCCTGACATTAACCAATTTACAACCATTACCCCGTCCCTACTCCTGAAACATCACAACTATTACCCCCTCACTACCATTAGCACATCCTAACTATTTTCTCATACCTAATTTTGATATAGAAAGAATTAACTCACTGTCTCACTTTCCTTGCACTTGAAACAACTACCCTCGCCCCCACCCCCACCTCATCCCCCATCTACAAGCACATCCTAAAATATGCTGCGATTTCGACACAACTACTAATTAAACCTACCCCCACCTTTCCCTGCCCCATACCCCAACGCTGATCCCACGCCCACAGCTATTACCCCCGGGATATCAACGCTTTCACTGACGTAGGGCAACCTTATCCCCACCCCCGACTTCCTTGCACCCTCTCCCCCGAGAATGTTTTCATTACCCCACAAACTGGTTGTCCCGACGATGCGCACGATCCAGCTACTTCCTGTGTTCACCTATTTCACCTTTGTTCACCTCAACACGTGGATTAAATCTTCAGCAGAAAACCACACACCCATTGTGTGCAGGCACACACACATTTGCGCAGCGACAACTGACAAATATTTGATATTTAATTTTGTTTCTGTACATAATTGTCGGGGGTAAGCTCTGTCAACACTGGCCTGGTCTATTCTACCCCGGGTAGTCCACCATCCACACAGGTGTACGACACACCGAGACATGGCGTAGACCATCACTGTCGACGACCACCCGACACTGACATCGGTTTCAAACTACGTTTGTTTACACATTTCCAAACAAACCTTGCATCCTCTTATCTTCTCCTATTGCTCAGAAAGCTGTGTGCCCTCTCCCCTTTAATGCGTTGAGGGTATTTGGCTTGTTCAAAGGGCTACCTACCATCCGGGAAATACAACACCCACGCGATATATTTACGGAAGCGAATGGGTAATGAGTATGTTGTAATTTTCTACGAGTATGAAAAATGTATAGTCATTTGCGGTAAAATAAATATAAAGGAAATCTGAGAGAAAAACAGGTTAATAACATATATGCTGATACAGAACTCATAACAATCGTGTTTAGTCCTCTAGCAGAATGAACTCTACACTCAATCCTCTCGTATACCGTTAACCCTTTTCTGGCAGTTGAGTTGGGGCTTCGGGAGAGTTTGTTGATTGCGTGGTCACAATGGATGCTGAATCCATGGATGGCTGACAACATGTATTAACACAGACTTAACAGATCGCTTTGTGCTAGATCAGTCAGCGTACGTATACCATCCCCGCTGCTTAGAAACATGCTATACATACACGGGGGTGGGGGGATATTTTATTGAGGTACAGAACATAAACGAATGTCAGTGAAAGGAAGATGTTTTATGTGACAATAGACTGATATCCTTCGCCTCCTAACGCTGAACAACGCTGTGGCGATGACCGTAAGCGCTCTAGGGCAGGGAAACCAGTCTACTGTGACAGGAACATTTAAAAAAACAAGTTCCCAAACACAACCTGGTGACGTTAATTAACCGTATGACCTCGTGCAAGGATGGTGAGCCAGATTTACCATTTTCGGTTGTGGGCAGATACATTTTGCTTTCTTGGAACCAAACTCTCAAATATCACAGATTTAACACATCTAACCAATAGGGATATGATTGTACTGATCGCTGATCGTATTCTGAACGTTTCCGTTCCAGTTGGGCACAAGACCAAAGAGGTTGTTTTACCCGACATTAGCGACGTCGGCTGCAAATTTGACCCGACCTCTTTAACCACCAACTCATCACATCAGATATTTTGATCCCACTACACTATGTCGCCGACTCACAAGCAGATATGATCATATTTCTGTTTGCCAATACCATATGGATCAGAAGATATGTCTTAATGAATACCACTGCCCCTTACAGTGGTACATATAACATATAGAGCAATATCCGGAATGGTGACTTATTTGGTATCGGTCGACAGTCACGATTCCAATAAAGTAAACAAATAAAGAAAATAACATTTCTGACCTTTTCACAAACACATTTTATTACCAACATAATTGTAATCTTGGCCGCGGCCATAACCTGCAGCGGAACCGGGATCCCTCTTCAGAACTTACATCGTCGCTGTAATGATTCCTATGTACTTGTTCTAGAACTTGAGGCTTATATTCTAAAATTATGTTTTGTTGCATATTCTACTAAAAACAACTCAAGGACCAACTACAGTTAAATGGCATGCCATGAAGATAAATCATAGTGATATGAAAAAATCGGTTGGCACTAACATGTTTAAGTGTTATATACACAACCTAAATATCACTGTGTCTTTTGCGTTAAAAACAAAGCCTTTAACTAGTCCATTGACGTCATTATCGCAGCAATAACGTTTACAATAATATCTTGTCTCCTATTTATATCCCAAAGAATTGGTTATAATTTCTTCAACTGGCATATTTTACGTCAAATGTTTAAATGATGACATGTCCGGAAAGACCTACTGTATAACACACCTTAAACTCAATGACGCTGAAATACAGTTTAAGTAGTACATCGACGTCAATGGCTAGCGTACCTGACACACTCACAGAAGGGTAATAACTTCAACTGACTTATTTCACATGAAATGATTAAATGATGTCACGAGATTTGCTGGTCACGGCACTTGGCGCCGCTCACGTTACTGCATTCTGCGATGTTCTGACGCCAGATTCCTCGCAGCGTTGTTAGGCAGAGCTCGCGCACATTATTTTTTTAGATAGAAAAAAATAGTGCCGGTAGGGGCATCGTGATGCTGTGAACTTCTCAACAGTTTACATGTTTGTAGGCTGTGCGACCTTCACGGCCTCCGTAACAACCCCATTACACAAAACAACGTTATGTTTAACTCAAGGGTATATACCACAGGCTTAAATACGATTGGCCTGCATTCTGTTTACGAAACACATCGTTATTAGGTGTTACACAGACAACAACGCTGGCATATATAATGTTAAGGAAGGTATCTTCAGTTAAAGCTCGTGATTACAATCGCCAACGCTTTCCCCAATGACATTGCATTGGCAATGACACAAGGTGGTCAAAATAGGGCGTAAAGTCATATAGGGCCAATATTAGTTGGGAGGTAAGTGGTTTCAATAAAAGTGACAATAACAAAAGATCAAAACAGTTTTGCGGAAGCTTTTATTCTATAAGCAGCGATCAAGTAGGGCCTAGTAGGCTCAGACTGAAACACAGTCATGTTCACACTGGACACACCGTAATCCTTACTTGTCACTTTTAATTGAGATATAAAACACTGGAGGGAAAGGGGTGAAAGAAAATAACACGTAGGTAAGTCATGGTTTTAGTGGCTAGATAATACTTTTCTGACAGAATGCTACATATTAAATATTGTTTTTCATAAAGACATTTTACAACCAATTGAATGGCAATCCTAAGAGGGAAGTTTATCAAAAGAACACAGCTTGCCCTTATTTGATTTCTTTGGAATCAGTAAGTGTCTAAATTATGCTTACACATAAAGATTACTGTCATTAACCTCAGGTTACCAAGCCAGAACAAATGGCGACGTTTGGAGAACATGTTTGACAAAACTATTGTTTGCTGATGTGGTTTTCAAATCGGTTGAATGAATCTCGTTCTTTACATTTGTGTACAAAGCTTGGTATTTAAATTGTCATTGTCTGGAATGTCTCATAAGCGACAGTCCCCTTTTCCATATTCATTAGAAGTCGAAAGGAGAGTAGTACTTTCCGACGATATTATGAGCATGCGCCCGTGAAACACCATCAAACTGTGGTGATATCAGGTGTTCGTGAAAAGGTGAGCGTTTGCAAAGACAAGTCTATTATTCACCTAAAGCAATACACACTGGCTCTTATGGTACAAGGAAAAACAATTCATCAAGGTGCCCATGTCTCCAGGTACAGGTGTCCATATCTCCAGGTGCCAAGGTGTCCATGTGTCAAGGTATCCATGTCTCCAGGTAAGGTGTCCATGTCTCCAGGTGTCCATGTTTCAAGGTGACTAAGTCTCCAGGTGCCCAAGTGTCCAGCTTTAGACGGCAAGGCTGGGTTTGGTAAATACCGTATGTCATCTGATAAGCGCCCCCCAACGATTATTCCTTGGACGAGTAATGGATTCCCGGTGGGTATTCGAGATCCGGGTTCCGTTGTACAAAACAAAAGTAGTGTTATGCCTGTATTTGGGCATTAGAGTGACGACCACCTTAGTGCTAAGTACAACGGCACTCATACGCACTGCTCTCATCTGAGATACGAATTCAGCCAGCATTCGTAATACCGAGTGCAAGGCGGGGTAACAACAAGTACCATTTTGTCACATCTTTAATGAGGACGCGTCTGGGGATCAAACCACCAGCATCCGCTCCCCGGCAAACGCTCTACCCACTAGACCAAAGGTCCCCTCCCCTTACACTCTCCCTGAAGGTCCGCAAGTGGGCGGTTTATAAGTAACCCAAACGGTCACCCTTCAAATATGCGTTTACCTGGGTACATATGTATACATGTATATTGCTTTATATTGATTGTAAAACCCAAACACCTTTTTACAAAATTATCCAGTCTCTTCCTACGAAGCTGAGATCATCGACTGCACTCCGTAACGACCCTGTCTGAAGTGGGTATGGCTGTGGTTGTCTCTGAGTCAGGGATCACGGAACCCACTCTGAGAGGAGTCTGGCTGATAACACATTTAATGTTTCGGTGTGTGACTTTACCTACCGGAGAGAGTTGACCCATTATGCAGGGTCTGTCTTAAATGTCATCGGCAATAATTTGCGATTATATATAATAAAACCACATTCTGCCCTGTACCAGAAACGTCTCGCTTCTAACGACCTATTGCCATCATCATTCTCATCATCAGCACCACCGGCATCACAGTCGTCGTCGTTGTAGGGATATTGTGATCTAGGTACAAAATATCGGAACAAGAAATGCTTCAGTATAACAACTATACTTTATGAAGTGTTACCAGACAAGTTGTCCTTTCATTAATTGTTACAGGGAGCAGGTTCATTTTAAGGAAGGTTGAAAGGAACGTTTTCAACACGGTGTTTGGCAATATAGCTTCAGTTATAGGGAATCGAAAATGTCAAGCTCTTTCAATAAGCACGGTACTGTTCCCACTGTTTGAATTAAGAAAGGTCCATAGTATGGAATCATTTATAAACAGTTACAGCAGACATTATTTTCATATCTCTCTCGTGTCTGGCCAGAAATATACGGTCGACCTCAGTTACCCAAATGGCCGCATCTCTGTATTACATGTCCAGCACGCCGGAACAATACAATGGAAAAACAAAATAAATACAGCTCGGACAATCCTGGAATGTGACTTGTGACTGGACATTACTGTGTGTCTCACGATCGTTCACCCTGACAACTCGCCATGTGTGTGCTGTGTACTTTCACCAGTGTCGATCTAGAGGTCCAGTAATCTCATTCAAGTATTTAAAGACGGTAACCCGTCTGTGTGTGCGGGCTGAGATTGTATTGCCCCCGTCAGCATTCGGTCCATCTCCAGCCCTAGTCTGGCGTTCTCCCAATTCGCTCATCTTGTTTGACTACCGAACGTCGATTTCATTAACAAGCAATCCCTCCAAACCCGGACCAGAAATTTTGACTTTATTTGCATTTTTCATCGATACTCAATGATGCTCCGCACAAGGTAAATTTGGCTTGGGGCGGATAGGGAGGTAGCTTGCCTCTCGTGGCTGGGGAGGGTGGGGATTGAGTTGTGTGACTAGGGGTGGGGGGGGGGTGATAGTGAGGAGGGTTCTGGTGCAAGAATCAATGTTGGAAAACAGAGCCGGTTGAGAGAAAGGGTGGAAGGTGGGTGGGATTAAGGGTGGCATTCAGAGTGCGGATCCCGGATATGGAAGACTGGGTGCACACTCTTTAGGTCGTGAATATATCACGGGATGTGTTGATACGTGAGGTGTCTGAAAAACGCGAGGTGAGCACCCCGTACACCTCAGGGTCCGTTATTGGGAAGTCGGGCAGGACATTGTTTTTACAAACATGTATTATATTTTACTGTAGTAGTAGTAGTAGTAGTAGTAGTAGTAGTAGTAGTAGTAGTAGTAGTAGTAGTAGTAGTAGTAGTTATAGCAGTAGCAGTAATAGCAGCGGTGCCCTTTTAGGGGTTTCAAAACTGCAACAGGGTGGGTGGGTCGGGATGAAAGGGTAGAACTACAGGGTGGGTGGAGGAGTATGAGAGGGTAGAGAGACAGGGTGGGTGGAGGAGGGGGAGAGGATCTCAGGACGAAGAGTCAAGAGACCACAGAGGGAGTGGCATTTACCATATTCGCGTAATTGGCAGAAGAATCTACACGAGATGAGAATTGTTATATAGTGTGGTAAAGTGTAAGTCGTACTATAAAGTTGATTACACATATCAGCCTCACTGGTGACTACCTCCTTGTGTAGGTGGGGTCAAGAAAGTGTGCCGGGGGAGGGGAGAAGACCGAAAATCGGGGGCTACCTCACGGCAAATATTAGCAGTAGCAGATCGTTTGGCGTGAGCTTGAGCTTGCCGTGGGCGCCATGTTCTGTAAGTGGCAGTTTGTCACAGATTGGGGTATTTCCTCTAATACAGATTACAGACAACTGGGCGTGTGTGCGAGGATTTGCGCATTTCGTTTGTTTTCCTAAAAGATTATATAAAAGCAGCTTTTCAATCTGCTAATTAAATCACATGGAATTAACTTCAATTAACTATTAGACAAACACTGTTATAATACCTGCGTCTGTAATATTCCGACATGGAATTGACAGACATCAGGAAAATACTGTACACACAGTAGCCGGTTGATTAAAACAAGACTTCTATTTAACTTGCTTTTTCAACATCTGTCTTCTTGTCTTGACGGCAATGAATATTTTTTATTCGAAACAAATTAATTACAAAAATCGTACATGCGTGTTATAAAAGAACGTCGTGAATTAAACAGATCGTGATTATCAGTACCCCCAGCTGATTACTTGTAACACTGTAATCCCTAACAGATCACGGAAGGTAATATAAACTCGCTTATCAAATCGTTGATATTGTCAAATTCCCCCAAACGGAAAGGCTGTTTGTACAATTATTCGAGCGTATTTAAATAAATTGAAATTGATAATAACACGATTATAATTTCTGAAGGGGCGAAAGTGATTATTTTGGATATATTTGGTTCATGTCAAATTTATTTACCTTTGAAAAAGACAGATGAAAACAATCTATCTCACACCGAGTTGTTGAAGATACTGGCCTGTATCGTCTATTTCTGACGTTAATATTTACGTCTCGTAAGTTCAGTTCAGATTTGTTTTCATTAATTTCGTAAATAAAAGGTTTCAAAGGAATTGATTTATGAAACTATCATGTTTCTTTTGTGCTTAATTAATGAAAACTATTGTTCATAGGAAAAGTATTTCCTTATGCTTGGAACTTTCATCATAATAGAATATTATGTTTGTAACATGATCACCAACTGAATCGCAAAAATCCGTTTTAAATATCCGTTGTCATTATCAACTTAATCCAAGCCATAAATGTTCGAATTATACAGGCTGATAAAGGCAGGTCGTCTCGTGGAAATGTGGACTAATGGAAGGAATTAGATTTAACAATATCCTACATGGACATAGATTCGTGCTACAACAATACAATAATCTTAGTCTACAGATGAGGTAGTTTAATTGGTATCCATAATTATCGTAAAGTGAGTCGAACAAATTTCGTTTTATTCAGTTTTCAAGTTTTGTGTCGTGTTTCCAAATATTGCAAAGCTAAAATCCAATTGATATTCTCACTAGTGGGAGGATTGATGTTCAGTGCATGTGGTTCATTTCTAACACAGGAGGTTGAGTTTAGATATTGGTAATTATGAAAGGACATAACATCTGCCTATTGAAACTCTGAGTTTGAATTATTTTTTTGCAGTAAATGCTTGTTGTTTTATGTTAGTTTTCTCATCAGCGACGTCGCTTTGTTTGAAGGTATAGGCTTTACACTGCGCAGGAGCCGTACGCAATTGTGGTCATAATCTCCTGCGTTTATAGATTAACATCTTGAGAAATATTTCACCCAAGCACTAACGCTTGAATTATAAGGAAAAGCATAATGTGAAACATTGATTCAAAAATAAAAAACTTTAAAATTCGCTGCAAGTCTTTTCGATTTCTTGTGCACAACGTTTTTTTTCAAAAGAGTGTTTGATACGTTTAAAATCTGCAAATCAATACTTTCCGCCGAAGGAAACGATCGCTGATTCCCATATTTCATAAATATTTCTATGAAACGAAGCATCGCACAGTTGGAGTTTTCAATGACCGACCCCTCGGCACACAGATAACGGGTGGTCTGAGGGAGGGGTAGCGTCGCCCCGGGGTGAGGTAAAAGGGCGGGGCGGGAGGCAGGGGTGGAATACGACAGAGCAGCATGAGAAATATCGTAATTTGTTCATCTTGTACGGTTTGGAATAAAATATACCAGCCTCTCCGGTAATTAGCGCTCCCTGAGATGAATCAGAGCACTGCATCTGTAGAAAGGACGGGAAGGCCTGAAGGCTTCGTAGAGAACCTACTTGATATAGGAGAGGGGCAAATGTTGCTGGCTACAGCTGGTAGACAGTATCATCTCACAAAAGCCTTACACTTGCTCCACAACAAAGCGGTACAGTCTTAACCGACATGCTATTTGCAGGTTTTTAGAAACAGCGGGGCAACATCCCTTTAACATTTATGCCCATTCCAAAAACAAACTCTTTCGTAATCCATACGATTCTAAAGTATGTTTTTTTTCATTTGAGGAAAACTGTGAAAGGAATACTTTGCAGGGAAGCGCGTGTGAATATAGTTCGATCGAGGTGGCGATGTGGATTCGCGGAGCGATATTTCAAGAGCTTCTGACGGCAGCAGTCTCCAGGCAAGAGGGTCAAGTACCTCGTTTCCATAGTGACTGGAAATTTGGTGAACTCACAGAATTCAAAAGAAATTTTCTTCAAGTGTCCACGCGAACTACACAGCAAGTTTGAGAAACAAAGCAAGCCCAATTCCTGGTTTTGTTGGCAGCTAGAATCTTCCATACACGACCTTCTGAAAGAGACTGAATCTGGTCTTTCTCTCATACAATGATGAATCAATTCTAAATTATCAATAATTGTTATTTCATTTGGCCAGTTTCCTCTAATGAAGATTATTCAACTAATATCGGCTATTACGTCTACTTACAAAACTGAACTAGGAAATACAGCGTCGTCTAGTCCATCTTTTACACGAACCCACTCCCCCCCTCTCCATCTCCAGCCAGTTGCCTCGCGCTTACGTTACTTGACTAGGGCACAAGCCCCCTCGTGGCCAGATCTGGCTACTGAAGTTTTGTCAAAAGCTTTTCAAGTATATCTTTTTCAAGGGTCAAAATGGGGCTACTGCAAGTTACTGTCTATCTAATGGTAAATATTCTTTTCAGGATTTTAACACCCGTTGAAACGGGAAGTCAATTCAAAATAATATAATATCGTATTTATCATCAAATGATTATACATAATTATTATTTTACTACAGCGTCATTTACATAAACAAAATATAATTGCGTAATCATTCTTATATTGGCAGTTTATGCCTTTATTTTTTTTAAACCGTTTGATTTATGAAATTACGTCAGGGTGAGTATTAAACTATTTCTCTTGTGACAAATCTATTTGGTATATGCTGCACAATCGCATTGACTGTTGATTTTCTCTCTATAATACACTCAGCTTCTGACATTCGACGTGTAAGAAAAGTAGACACGGAGATAAGGTGTAGCTTTCCGAAACGCCGTATGTTAGACTAGGATAGGAGCGAATATCAGTTTTGTTTTAGAGATAAATAAATAAATATAGCATTACATGTATATAAATCATTATCGAACACAAGAAACCCTCTCCTTCAAATACATGCTCACAAACCTTGGTATCGGTACACAAAGTAAGGAAACGCGGAATAGTGAGGTAAAAAGGCAGTCTTTACGATATTGTTATAACATGGAATATAGATGTACATTCTTTCAGGTAATATTTAATATCAGTATCTATGCGATGTTTAACCCATTTCTAATAACATTCTACATGTTTATGTACAAACTGGTGGTATGTACTTGATTCTGTATTATTTTAATAGAAAGCCTAAAATATATTTCCATTATAACATTAACACTGATGCAGTCAATGATGACAGCAATAATTATACCCTATTCTCAAACATAACAATATTGCCAGACTGACACAGTTATATTCATGACCACGAGTGTCTACTTTGCCTGATATTATGAAAATGAAAACACAAAATAGCTAGCTACCACAAATAATAAAACAATAGTAAAGCCGCTTTAGGATGAGCGACTGTAGAAGTATAGGCAGGTGTTGTTACCTGCATTAATGCAAGGAACTAAAAATTACCTCCAATGGTTACTTCGAATCAAGTCTGATTTTCATATGTCACTTTGTTTATATCATTCATTATAAATCATGTATGCCGGAAATATTTTTCTTTTATGGCAAATTCTCTCGCTCTTGTTTCCTTACGTTAATGATCTCACTATATAAATTATTTAAAACCGTTTCTGAAAACAATTGGAACTGTATAGTTTTCAAGTTATAATATATTGATAATAATGGGCTAAAATGGGCATAAATTTGCTGAAAAAAGGATTGATGTTTATCTATTATTACGATAGTTAGCTATAGTGTGTATACAACAGGTCTACGACACAATCACAATATAATAATTACTATTATTGGTTTGACCTTACACAGATTTTAGACACACTACGACGAAATAGTATATACAGCGCTTAGCACATATCCATGTATACTTCTGTGCATTTGTATGTGAAAATTGAAATTTTATAAAAGAGGGATACATTGAAGTATCTCTTTTAGCATTTATCTCTAATACTTATGATAATTAATCATTTGCAAAACACATATTAAAATTCTCTTTGGGTAGAGTTTTCGCCTGTGTTGGAGGATGCGGCGTTATTTGTAAGGTAATTGTTAGATGATTGCATATTTCAATATTTGCAGGTAGTTATCACTTCATGTGAGACGTTAGAATTTTATTCTTGCATAAACCATACATGTATGGTACGCAAAAGGAGTTAAGGAAGAGCCGAATCTCTCGTATTACTTTAGGTCATGGCATGACATATTAATTATAATAAAAGTAATAAGTTAGTAAAATAGTAATGACTTCATTCTAGGACTACATTAATATTTCCTGGAAATGCATTATGGGACATATGGCCTGTAAATCATCTAAAACTTGACGTGACTGGAAACGAAACAAGTTCCAGAATGTATATGATGTACAATGTATTTTAACCTCCGCTGAATATTCCTACAGAATTGGCAATACTTGTTGTGGGAAATATGTTAAAGCAGTGTCGTCACACCTTTACTTGGCTTGACACATTGTAGAGACATCAAGATAGACACCCGAGACAATTTAATCAATACTGTTTATTGTGGACTTAGCAAAGTATTGCATAGTTTCTTCGGTTGTTGTTCTTAATCAAGTATAAGAATTTTCTAAACAGTTTGCGATAGCTTATCGCTTATCTGTCGAAGTTCCATTCGCTCCATATCAGTGTACTTGCTTTTTTAACAAACGGAATATTATTCGCAGTTATCAAATCTAACTGATATAATTGATGAGCGATTCTTTATTTTATTAAATACATAATTCCCTCATGTGCACGAAATCAACCCACACGTGTGTATGGATTAATGTCAATTGTAAATTTTCAATTATAAAGCCATGTTTTTTTAAAAAAATGCATTTTTGTGGCTTATCTGTTGTACATCAAGTATTCTGTAGTGAGCAGGTTAATACTAATTTGAAAAAAGGAGTCATCAGACAGGCAAATGAGGGTTCGGCTGGATGAGTGAACTGGTGTTAGAGATTTTGTGTCAATACTACTATTTCAGCAATTCCTTACAAACACATAACTTATTTTGTGTTTAATCTGGGTTTTTTCATATTTCAGAGCACCATCTAATATATATCAGAAAGTACCGCCCGTGCCAAAGCACGCTCAGCGTTACAACCACAATCATTGTAGCCACACATTTGGACCACACCCTGCGGGTACAATGAACCCTTCAGTGCCATTGCCTAACATCCATTCCTGCAAGATGTCTTTGATCTTTGACAATGCTTCCCCCGATAAGCACGGTCCCAAAGAGTTCCATCTAATGCCGACGTATTTGACGCCTGTGCAATCAAAGCTTGGCAATACACGACCATCCATCTATCACTCGGTAGCTCTGAACAAAGACAGGTGTATCGCCTCGTGAAAGAAAATATGCTGAAATTATCGACTGTTGTCACAGTGAAAAATTCAGAAATCGGAGCCAGGGCCATATGTCATCCCAAGATTCTGGCAAAACACTATTGATGTTTTTCAAGTGGAACAATCTCAGCGGATTTAGCTGGCGGTGAAATACGCCAAATTCACACAGAAGACGCGAGAAATACAGATGAACGCTAATATGGGGTTTGGAGTTGTGTTCTTTTCAAACCCAAACACCAATTAATTACTAAGGTATAGATTCAGAAGTAAGACATGTATTTTTTTCAAAGCTTCTGAGATTTCTTTTGGATTAATAATCGCACGATTTGCGAACATTTGTTTATCACGAGACTTTACAGGTCGGCCATGACGTATGTCAGGCACAAATTGGAGAGGACACGAAATATGACATCAGAAACTAGACTATTATTCATGGGATTTGTCTTTTTAAACACACCCTATAAATTAAATTATTAGGAATACAAAAAAGCTTTCTTAATTTTCTAATTCAGCCTCCGCACTGGCACACCCAAATAAATATATAACCAAAAGGAGCTGTACAATAGTACAAGATGTTAAACCGTTAGTTCCATAGTGTAGACCGGTCCGATTCCCTTTAGGAGTACATGGTATTTGGCCTATTGTTGATCACCCGTGGTGACATGCATGAATATCAATAACCCAGGTGTTAAACAACACCAACCCACTATTTTCAAATGAACACTTATTTTATGTTTTTGAGAACTGTCTACTGGGCGTGCCAGGAATCTCGTGGAGATAGGTAGGCTCGTTCAGCGCGATATTCCTGTACAAGAGCGCTTCTACGGGTCGGGGTGAGGGCGCCGCGATTAGCTGGTCCGCTGCAAACAAATCTGTGATCGTGGGTCAGGCAGGACCCGATGGGTTGGGGCCGGGTTTGTCAGAAGCTGACACTGTGATGCAACTGGAAAAAACTGTTCACAGAGGCATCAAACCCAAACTCACTCACGCATTCCGTTGTTGTTAATAACGTCAACATAAGTTCTTAAATGATTCTGCATATAAGCAGCATTGGAACACGCGATCAACGCATGACATACTAATATGATAGAGCACGTGTAGATAAAACATGTTTGTTCATCATAAACTGCCACATCTGTACGCAAACGAAATTAGCCCAATTTTTAAATAAACCAACAGAGGTAATGAAAATATCAGAATAGGGCAAGCGTATTCCCATCTGCAAAGGGGAAGGTAATTTTACAAAAGACGACAAAGGAAGGAGTAAGAACTCACTGTATGCAGTGGCGGAGCGGTGATGTTCTGACGTATTATGCAGAATAAATACTCACCTTCACAAACAAACCAAAGTTAAAATTTAAGAATAATGTCGACTTATAGCCCAGGTAAACCATGTATTTATTAATACAGCCAAACCTTTATTTCGGAAACTTATTTATCAGCGTCTAAAACCAGAGTTTCCTGCCACACAAATGTTGACATGTATTTGGAAAAAAAGTAAGCTGGATTCAAAGACGACAGCCTGAAGTTCGAATCTACAAATATGAACAACGATTGGATATCACGAATTCTTGCAGTTAACAACAAAAGATTATCAGTGTGCGAAATAGTTTCCAAATTTTGCTAGCCAGTCGGACTAGCTATGCCTAAAATTTACTCGCCCACAAAATAATTCACTAGTCCGAAATTTCAATGTAGACACAGGCTTCATCATTAAGCTGCTAATATGATGAATATTTTTTCAGGTCATAATCGCGCATGATTTAAAAGTGTGTTATAACTTAACAAGTCGGAGAGAATGATATATTTACAAAATGACCCTATGAAAATTCACTAGCCAGTCGGGCAAGTGACTGTAGAGATTTACTGGCCCGACTCGATTTTTACTAGGCATGGGCTAGCGGGCCAGAGGCTATTTCGCACACTGCCGCGACCTCAATTTGTTCTTTGAATTCCTTATTCCTTCCAGTTACTATTGGACCTCACCCCTTGTAGCCTTTGGGAAGATGTCAGTTACATGGTATATCATGTTTGGACTATGGCTTCCTCAACCACTATGAAACTGCCGGTATATTACTGGTATTTGTTAAGGGCACTCAGCAATTTTTGAGCTTTTTGACACCGGCCTGTATATAATTAAATCTTGACTAGACAAACTAGTGACTGATATTATGAACACCACCAGACGTTATCAGGAACCGATGATCATCCAGCATGACCTCCCAACGCTGTTTGTTGCTTACTGTGTATGTATTGTAACCTGTTCCATACTGTACAATCCTCATGTATAAAACAACAGAAATACAGAGACCTTGTTATTAGTTTTTATTTCAATGTCCAAAGTACAATGTAACTTACAATGATATCTTGCTAATACTTTGATGTTAACAACAGTTTGTAAAAATTCCAATTGTTGTTCTCAGACTGAAAGTTGAATAAATTATTACATTTATAATTCTACCAAAACTGACTTGAGCCATTAATCTTTGACCCTAATATATCACCACGATATTGACTTGAGACAACTGGGCTGAGCTACTATAGGAGTAGAGAGATGGTTACAAATTCAGTCATAGTTTTCTGAAACAAAGTGACCAAGAACATTTTCAGAGGAAGCCAAATGTATATTTCTGCTTAAATCTACAGTTGATATGAAGAAAGACAATAGACCTTTATTAAAAAATATTGATACTTGCAATATATGGTGATTTACTTACAGATGAGGGGGAAACTATTCCCCTAAAGACTGTTGACTTTGGTAAGCAATACATGAGTGAGAGAGCATGTGCATGGCATGAGTAGGTGATACCAGGGATATTCAATGACAAAATGATGGCACAACGTAAAACAATCTTAAATGAAACTGATTTTGTTATTCCCAAATCACTCATTTCAGTGCCTGATGTTTGCAATGAAGATGAAGTACAGTGTTGGAAAGATAGCATCCAGCCTGTCATGTATCATGTGAAATGACTTGATAGTGTCAATGAAAATGAAAACAGTAATACACATAGCATATTCTTCCGATTCCTATATTTGTTAGAAGATAACCACTGCATCTGTCTGAGGGTGGAAATAGTGTTACAGGACTGTTAACCTGTTTATCGCATTGTCAAACAATAATCAAATTCCAGTGAAAAACAACTATATACATGTACCTTGTTCCAATGAAAGTAGGCTGATACCAAACAACAATTACTTGTAACGTATTTACTTAATAATTTTCTCAGTGATAAATCAATGCTGAAATCAACAAGTTTGGGTTTGTTCAAAATCTTATGACAGTTATATATAACACATTTATATAGAACTTTTACTTTCAACCATGTTCATGCACTAATAGCCTGACAAATTCCGGTGCCTTTTCCCAGGGTATTACGCCACTTACCTTTAACAGAATATCAATAAAATATAATAAGTTTAACCAACGGAAGTATAAAAAACCTTGGACAAAACATTTATTTGCAGATCACTGACATAACACAGAAAAACAGTTCTGGTATTAAAATACTAATTTTCTTTGATGTTTCTAAAACTCACTTTTCTGAAACAACCAATTCCTTCATCCTCCAGGAATCTTTACCCCTTACAAACACTGCTTTTAAATGTTCATCAATCATGACAAGTTTTTTATCATGGTAATGCCACACTTGCATAGAAAACCTTTTAAAAAAAACACTTATAATGTCCTTATCATATTTCTTCTGTTCAGTGCAAACTAAATGGTTCTCTAAAATAACAATATTAATATTTCATGTTATCAAATATATATACAAACTTTAAAATGATCAGTACCAACATAAAACAATATAGTCTTCACCGAGTTTCAGCTGACCAAAATTACGCTATTTTATGATAGGGGCATTACAAATATGACGATATTCCATGATCAGGGTATGACAAAGCTGATCAGGGTACGACAAAGCTGATCAGGGTGTTACATATATGACAATATTCCATGATCAGGATATGACAGATATGAGGCTAATCCATGACCAGGATATAACACATTTGATTCTATTCCATGACCAGGATATAACACATTTGATTCTATTCCATGACCTGGATATGACACATTTGATGCTATTCCATGACCAGGATATAACACATCTGATGCTAATCAATGATCATTGTAAGACAAATATGAGATGGTGTCAATGAAAACAAAATGTATTTGTATTTCATTTACAAATTCCCATCACATGTTTCACATGCAAACCCAAATATTTTTATCAAAGCTGGAAACAGCTGTCAAGAAAGCCATATTTATCACTTTTCTTTGTTACATCTATTTGGACCTAAGTATTTGAGAGATATTGCAATGAACATCAGTTCGGAACAAGCCACCATTGTTAACATCATTAAAAGATAAAATATTTAATTAACAATCAACCTACCCAGGAACCCATAACTGTTCATTTTACCGGAAACAAGTTATTTTTTTTCTTGGCCTAATGACAGCTATGTACATGTTCTATTTCAGTCACATCAATATAATACACGCCTATTTACATGAAACAAGTCTGGACCATGACAGGCAGTCATTAACAGACCAACCTGGTGTGGCATTGGATATTGTAATCTCAAAATATTGTGTTTTGCAAAACATTTTACATCAAAAGTTGCTAAACATTCAGCAGAAAAACACAAGATCCCTGAAAATACAAAATGTGGTTCCATGAAAATTAGGATCTTACTTCTTGGTTTACAGAAGAAATCTTGTCAGAAGATTGGAAAAAACTAAAATATAAAAAGATGTTTGTAACTGACATTTATTTCAAGCTTTGTGAATAGGATGCAATGTGTGCACAGTTAGTTAACCCTTTCTCATTGTTTGATGTAGTTAAACTGATTGTCTAGTAGTCCTTCAGTTTCATCCATAAACACACAGTAATTTTGGGTCAGTCGAATCTGTGAATTTTGTTTTATTTAAAAAAGCCACGCTTTGACATAAACACCTGTTTGGTAACTTATTCTTTATGAAAATTACAGTGACCCTTCTGTTAGAGTAGCAATGATTGACTGTATTGAGATGTCTACAACACCGAGATGTTCAGCTGCCTGAATGTAGACGAATCACCAGATATGTCAGCTCTATCTGACCTCAGTCCAGGTTCAATACCGTCTGTAGTTACCACTACTCCTGCCTTGTGACTGCTGTTGCTGTTGCTGTTGATTGTATGGTCGATACTGAAGACAAAAAGAAATACAATTGAGTTCATTTCAGAGTTCTTATTCACACTGTTTCTGATCAGGCCAATGCCAGACAAACCAATGGTTGACCAGCAGAGGACCCTGTCAGTAAGGTACAATAACGCCTGATCAAGTGTCACACATTGTCAACATCCACTTCAGTTGTCAGACACAGGATTCTGATGTAATACTGTAAATGTACTTATTTTCGCGTGGTGCAATTTTCGCGGAATTGACAGTTTAGACTACATCGAGCGGTCAATTATTCGCGCAATCAGTAATTGCCGGAACTTCCAGCCGTCTCTTTGGCCGCCACTAACAGCAGTGAAAACAAACAGAGTGGCTTAACCTGTCAGGCGGCATTTATTACTTACTCACAGGAAATCCCTATCTGTGCGATATACTAGTACACAGTAACCCGTTTACTCCCGGAAGAGATGAAAAACACATCAGTATTATGTTCCGAATTCTGACGATCTGACTAATTAACTTATACTGTATATGAAGCTCTTTGTGATTTCAAACAAGCCGGGTTGTTGTGAATGAAATGATTGAGTGTTAGTGACTATTCGCTTCATGATGATACGTTTGTATCTAAATGAATAAATAAAATACTGCTGTATTATTTCTTCCGAGTCGATTTTACGTGGTAATCTGTTTTGTATCAAACCATCTGTCATGTGACCAATTTCCATGGCGGCCACAACACACATTGCTGTTTTCGCTAATTCGGCGATGGATTTGGCTCATTATTTAATTATGTTTTGGGAAATCCATTACAGCGACAGTTAAGTTTGATTCTTTATGCTACTATCAGTCGTCATTTTAAGATTCCCGTAGATTTCTGTCTTCAAACTTGATGTGTTATGGTAACAACTCAGGGGCGAGCGTGGTTAGACTGAATGAATGACAGGTTTATTCGCGGTGTATAAATTTTCTCGCTAAAATGTTTTGCGTGAAAAGCGCGAAAATAAAACCTGCGCGAAATATACTACGTTTACAGTATCATATTATGCAATAGTTTTGTGGAATATTCTACAAATTAACATATGCCTCAAAACAGGTCAATACTCTGTAAAACTACAATGTACAGTGGAAGCTGTGTAAACCGGCACACATCCGGACTGAAGAAATAATCCGCTTTAGGCAGCGTAGCGGATTGTAGAGCTGACACGGTTACCGACGACTAGAACTGAACCAGTTTTATCAGTTTCATATACATTGTTGTATAACGTGGTTCTCTCAATTTCTCTCTCAACTCACTAATTACATGTAAAAGTATCCCATATTGAATTAAGATTAAATTATCTTTGTCGGCAAGCATGTAGTTTCAACGCAGGATTAATTGGTTACAATACATCCAACTAACTCCTCACCACACGCCGGATTAGACAGCGCTGATTGCTGTTATAAACATATTCGGGCGGCTCATTTCATGCCGAGATCTGGAATTGACAGAACTTATACATGAGCATACAGTACTAGCCACGGACGGGACTGAGATTTTATGCAGGTGTTGACAACTTGCCGGATTGGACAGCTATCGGTTTTGACAGCTTCCACTGTATTCTCAAATTATCAGTAGAATTAAATAAAATACATAATTTTTATAAAATCAGTGTAGAAACCTTGATATCACATGTTAAAAATTATTCATGAATTTCCTGTTCATTGGCGTTGTGTATCCTGCATGTTACACCTACCCGATCCTGTCCTGACTGACTGGTCCTCTGACCTCCATACTCCCTTGACTGACCACCATAGCTGCTATCACCAGCGGAGCTACCACCGGAGCTGCCACCATAGCCTCCGCCATAGCCGCTACCATAGCCTCCACTATAGCCCTGGCTGCTGCCACCTCCGTAGCTGCTGCTGTAGCCACCCATCTGGCGGCTCCCCTGCCCCCCTCCATACCGATCCATATTCCTCTGCCACCCTTGTCCTCCACCACCTCCTCCTCCACTGAAACACAAGACAGGTAGATCAGTTTAATACAAGACAGATAGAACAGTGTAACACAAGACAGGTAGATCAGTGTAACACAAGACAGGTAGAACAGTGTAACACAAGACAGGTAGAACAGTGTAACACAAGGCAGGTAGAACAGTGTAACACAAGACAGGTAGATCAGGGTAACACAAGACAGGTAGAACAGTGTAACACAAGACAGGTAGATCAGTGTAACACAAGACAGGTAGAACAGTGTAACACAAGACAGGTAGATCAGTGTAACACAAGACAGGTAGAACAGTGTAACACAAGACAGGTAGAACAGTGTAACACAAGACAGGTAGATCAGTGTAACACAAGACAGGTAGATCAGTGTAACGGTAGATCAGTGTAACTCAAGACAGGTAGATCAGTGTAACACAAGACAGGTAGATCAGTGTACATCCTGACATGGTTAAGGGGGATTGCATCTTGGCCAAGGCTTGCACATCTTGACATGGTTAGAAGTCTTTCACCTATTGCACATGGGGATAACACTGAAGAAGATATGCCATTCCACCCTTAACATTTTTACATTTTTAAAAGTAATAATATATGGCCAGCTTAACTCTTTAAGCTGCCTGCAGGTTTGGCAAGTTATTTATTTGTATCCAAACACAGTTTGTAATCTTGAATGCCATATTTTACAATAACTATCTATTAACTGACATGATTTACTTTTCAAACAATCATCAAATCATCCTCTTCTAAGAAAATCAAATCTAAGCAGTCTCTCCTCCTGCCCCTCGTGTATTCTCCCCTCAAGTGAGATATAGCCAGACCATTGCCCTGGGAGTACACTACAAGTTTTTTTGAAGCAGTTGTAGTGAACAAGTCAAGAAGCATCGAGCATCCTGCCACCATCTTTACATATGGTGTACATTGTCAGCCTCCCATGCTAGGAGGAACATAGCCAGTGTGAAAGGCCAAGCGATGAGAGTCAAGCTCTGTCTTGTCAGTGTCAGCCCCATTAGAAGATAGGTGCGAGCCATTGATGGTCACAGGTGTGACGCTGATTAGGGACAACAACAATTACGCCAGGAAAGCTGTTTTCCGTGTCGCTGGGCGGGTCATTGCCTGACCCCTACTCGTTGGGACGGCATAGAGGGGGTGGACAATCCAGGCCCTTGAAGCTGGGACAAGCGATTTGACCTGGGACAATACTGCTTGTTAAACGCCGCTCTTGAGTGGGAGGGTACAAAGATTGCTCAGCGACAGGGGACCAGCAGGGGGCTGGGCATAAATGGCCAGAGGTGGGGTCAATCGTTCTGTCAGTAGGGGGTGGAGGTCAATTGGGGTGGGGGACAATCCGAGGGTATAATGAGAATGTCAACATCTGCAGCGTTTGTGCAGACCAGTCAATCATCTGTATCGTATACGATAGCTACAGACCATCACTTCCTTTGCTATTGTTTCACAAAGTAGCCATCTTGACATCTGCTTGACGAGAGGAGTCGACGAGAATGGCCGGCGTCCTCATGGCCATTGCGTATGTCATTTAGATGGCGTAAGACACAAGGGCAGGTGAGAGGGTAGGAGGAGGTTCTAAACGCACCTCAAACCCTCTCAGCCAACATGAAGCCTAGCCGTGAGAGCTGGCAATCTCATCAACCCCTCTTCAAGCTACTGAAACAGATAGTGATAGCTGCTTCAGCTTCTCAGCTCAGCCTGCAACAAAGACGCTGTCTCCATCAACACCAGCTACATACACATCATACAACACTATCTACTGCACCTCACTCAATAGTCACAGATACAGGTCTCCTCATATAGCTCATGTTATCAATTAATTGCTTACCTCTTCTAACACACATACCCATGAACTACATTACAAGTAAGTCAGACATAAATACCCTTTAGCATCTACCATCTAGCATCTACCATCTATCCATGAAAGGCAGCATCCATTCAGAGCTTCCACAAAAGTGGCACGATGGATTTGGAAAATCACAATCAAGAAGATTCATTTGGAAACTTCATCCTCATTTAATTCCAAAACTGGGACAGAGTAATCGGTTCATCATACAACTACACTACCAATTGATTTCAACACCCAAGGACAAATTTACAACACAAAAACCACTGGTCAATTTCATTACACACCACAACATCAGACAAATTACAAGGTTCAAATTGTGGGCAAGGCGGAGGCGGCTGGCCACTGAGTGGCCGCTTGACCAGCGCTTGCCTCCCTGTCGGGAGGAAACCTAATCAAAAGCAACACTGCAATCATCTCATTGTCATTAAGACACTCTATGATGACAGGCTTCGCATGAAAATCAAATCAATCTCATTTAAACGGCAGCGGTAAGCTTGACGTGATCCGTAGCGGGCTGCAGTCACACAGATATAAAGCTGGGTAGTGTATCACGCTCTGTGTCAGTGCTTTTGTCCATGTGCTTATTTTCTCTTTAAGACTATCATTTGATAGGAGGAGTGACAGCAACATATGCCTGTGTGGTGATTCAGTCAGCCCCTGACTGATGTGGCTTACCCTAGTTCTCTCTTGTTTACTGAATTCACTTCCCATGTTAATTACACCAGAGGAAGACTATATTCTCATTACATCACCATTAGCCCATTATATACATGTTTCAAGATTACAGCAAGACATACAGGGATGCAATGTGTCTTTCTGTTCCAGCCTTAAACATGTTATTAATAAACCTTACGTTCCTAGTAGCTCTAGCTTTTTGAAGGGACTACTGAGATACTGGGTTACAGATCACAGCAAACATATTGGGATAAAAATGGGAAACATCTTCAGAGATGCCAACAAAAGCTGTATAATTGGGAAAACTGATCATATTCAAGTCTATAGTGAGTAATTTTCAAAATGAAAACACATATCATTACTTGCACATATTTTATCTGCAATGTTCACTTTTGCAACTGCAGTTCAAGTATATTCAACCCCTATCCGATATTACACTGACCTTCGTCCACCTCCTCCACTGGCACCAGTGCTGTAGCTTCCATACTGGCTGCCACCACCTGGAACAAAGCAACAAATACATAAAGACAATGAAGTTGGGTTTAACGCCACCGGCAAGGTGTAGCAGCAACAAATACATACAGACAACGAAGTTGGGTTTAACGCCACTGGCAAGGTGTAGCAGCAACAAATACATACAGACAACGAAGTTGGGTTTAACGCCACTGGCAAGGTGTAGCAGCAACAAATACATACAGACAACGAAGTTGGGTTTAACGCCACTGGCAAGGTGTAGCAGCAACAAATACATAGAGACAATCAAGTTGGGTTTAACGCCACTGGCAAGGTGTAGCAGCAACAAATACATAGAGACAATCAAGTTGGGTTTAAGCGCCACCGGCAAGGTGTAGCAGCAACAAATACATACAGACAATCAAGTTGGGTTTAGCGCCACACGGCAAGGTGTAGCAGCAACAAATACATAGAGACAATCAAGTTGGGTTTAACGCCACTGGCAAGGTGTAGCAGCAACAAATACATAGAGACAACGAAGTTGGGTTTAACGCCACCGGCAAGGTGTAGCAGCAACAAATACATAGAGACAATCAAGTTGGGTTTAACGCCACTGGCAAGGTGTAGCAGCAACAAATACATAGAGACAATCAAGTTGGGTTTAACGCCACTGGCAAGGTGTAGCAGCAACAAATACATAGAGAGACAAAGTTGGGTTTAACGCCACTGGCAAGGTGTAGCAGCAACAAATACATACAGACAACGAAGTTGGGTTTAACGCCACTGGCAAGGTGTAGCAGCAACAAATACATAGAGACAATCAAGTTGGGTTTAACGCCACTGGCAAGGTGTAGCAGCAACAAATACATAGAGACAATCAAGTTGGGTTTAACGCCACCGGCAAGGTGTAGCAGCAACAAATACATAGAGACAATCAAGTTGGGTTTAACGCCACTGGCAAGGTGTAGCAGCAACAAATACATACAGACAATCAAGTTGGGTTTAACGCCACTGGCAAGGTGTAGCAGCAACAAATACATAGAGACAACGAAGTTGGGTTTAACGCCACCGGCAAGGTGTAGCAGCAACAAATACATACAGACAATCAAGTTGGGTTTAACGCCACTGGCAAGGTGTAGCAGCAACAAATACATAGAGACAATCAAGTTGGGTTTAACGCCACTGGCAAGGTGTAGCAGCAACAAATACATAGAGACAACGAAGTTGGGTTTAACGCCACTGGCAAGGTGTAGCAGCAACAAATACATACAGACAACGAAGTTGGGTTTAACGCCACCGGCAAGGTGTAGCAGCAACAAATACATACAGACAACGGTTGGGTTTAACGCCACTGGCAAGGTGTAGCAGCAACAAATACATAGAGACAATCAAGTTGGGTTTAACGCCACTGGCAAGGTGTAGCAGCAACAAATACATAGAGACAATCAAGTTGGGTTTAACGTCACCGGCAAGGTGTAGCAGCAACAAATACATACAGACAACGAAGTTGGGTTTAACGCCACCGGCAAGGTGTAGCAGCAACAAATACATACAGACAATCAAGTTGGGTTTAACGCCACTGGCAAGGTGTAGCAGCAACAAATACATAGAGACAATCAAGTTGGGTTTAACGCCACTGGCAAGGTGTAGCAGCAACAAATACATAGAGACAACGAAGTTGGGTTTAACGCCACTGGCAAGGTGTAGCAGCAACAAATACATACAGACAACGAAGTTGGGTTTAACGCCACCGGCAAGGTGTAGCAGCAACAAATACATACAGACAACGAAGTTGGGTTTAACGCCACTGGCAAGGTGTAGCAGCAACAAATACATAGAGACAATCAAGTTGGGTTTAACGCCACTGGCAAGGTGTAGCAGCAACAAATACATAGAGACAATCAAGTTGGGTTTAACGCCACTGGCAAGGTGTAGCAGGTATACAATGGCATGCAGGTTATGGATTCAGTCACTACACCAGAGGCACTAAAAGCAAACTCAACAAGGATCGCGATGACATGACTGTTGGAGATTTTATGAGTGCTTTCGGTGGAACCAATTTTGCACACTGGTCACACTGAGAAAACAACCTAGTGAGGAAGTTTTGGGATAATGATTATCTAGAGCAGTACCACTGGGATGTGAGTAACAGTACTGTATTGTTTGGAATTTAATTTTGTTCTGATTAGGTAATTGCTATGAGTATTGTATATGAGAGTTGGATGTGGTGTGATTGGTAATGTTGGCATTGGACAGGTTACATCCTTCACTGAAAGACAGTAGAGATTTGACAATGTTTGTGTTTATGGGCATTTTGGTTAGTGTTGCTCTGTGACAATAAGAGATTACGTACCCATGCCATCTTCAGCACTGCATGTGCAATTATTCATGAAAAGATCAGATGAACAGAATGCCTCGAAAGATGAACTTACAAACATCACTAATACATAAACAACTAACCACCCTAACAATAACAACCTCCTCAACCTGTCACTTGTGCTCACCAAACCATGTGCATGAACATAATACCAATCAGCACAATATGCCTACTTAATTCTTCATACCTAACCTAGGTATGCTCTAACAGGACATTACAGGCACTGTATACACAGGTGGACACAAGGCGGACCACGCTGACGTAACATCCCCACAAGCCTCCAGCTTACATCACAGTGAGCCTGGCATCACGCTGCCTGGAGGACCAAGCCACAACACAAACGCTCTCCCTAAATCCGTTTACTGGCAGGCGAGTGAAAGGCTGTCATGGAGTCTCCATGTGTTCAAGATACCTCAACATAAAGGTTTATCTGGGTGAGGGGCTGTTGGACTCGGTAATGGGCAGGATATTATCATAAGTGAGAGTCCTTGTACCTGCTGAAGCGATGCCAAGTAGCTGAGGGGATTATCTCCTCCTTGTTTTACAGGTGAGAAAAATCACAGGTGTACATGTCAGTGGTAAGCTACTGTTGGCACTTGAAGCAGGTAGACTGGAACTAAACTAGTGGATAGGGCATTCCAAACTGCTCTAGCTTATACCTATACTATTGATTAGCTAGAGTCTCCTCTATCAACTTAATCACTGCCCAGTGCTGTTCCTTCTAACCATATACAATCTCATCAGTCACTTAACTCACATGCTCCAATGAACACTGCAACACCCCTCTCAGTGAGTAGCTTCTATAGCACTTCCAACAACTTAACATGTGATTAAGTAGAAGTTGTTAAATGCCGCAGCCAGAAGTATTCCCGATATATCACAGCCGTCTATAAATAACTGAATCTATAAGCAGGCAGACCAGACAGCATGAGTAACGATGCACCACCACCATAAAACAACATGCATTCAGCCAAGTCACAGACAACACAACTGCTGGTACATCATGACAACAACAATTACATGTAACAGACAGACACATCAGGAAACATCCAGACTGATGGCACAATGGCTTAAAACAGACCCAGGTACACGTGTACATTGTGAGGAATCATGGAATCCTGAAATGGCTGGAATGATGATAGTGGCATACAAACCAAACTCGCAGACTCTCGTCAACCAGTTGGCACGACACCGTAGGTCAAGTACCAAACCCGACAGGGACTGTTTCTGGAGGACATAACCCACCAACATACACCAACACTCTACAAGCCCAAACAATCCTCTTGCAAGCTTCAAAGGAATTCATTATTTGTGAGAACATTTCTTTCCTGTATGATGGAATCAATCCAGAAAGCCTCCAACCCATCCACATGATCTGCATCAGATGTGCCAGCAAACTAAAAAACATTGTCTATGGTCAATTTCTTCCACATATCTTCTGATTTGGATCTGTAAAAAGTGACAAAACACATATGTCTCCAATTTCCCCTAATCTATATGTACTTTAATAAAGCTGACATATGAATTTTGTTTTTATGATGATGACATGTGAACGTTGTTTCCATGACGCTGACATATGACTGTCAGAACAGTAGCTTAAGGGAGACCATGGCTGTTAACTCTACATGTGCTCTTCATGGGAAGCCTCTAATTGAACCTCCATCTACCTGCAGTCCACAAATGGCTGAAATGACACGTAAAAAAAGACACACCTTCCCAAACTGCCAAAATAACACTCTCACTGAGTGTTGTTTGTAAGTAATAAATATTCTGATCAAATGATGCCTGTCTATAAATAATCAAGTCTGGATCAGAAAATCCAGTGATTGAGTAAGCAAGCCGTGAAACCAGGAGAGCAATTCTAACTGATGTTCACAGGATTCACAGGGATTGATACAACGATCATATGTTATAACATGTTCACTGCAACCTTCACACAACATCCTCCTGACATTCCAAGGTGACAAATCAACTCCTTCATGCTACAATAACAATATCCCCAATAAATCCATCCTAATGGCCATATCCACATTACAGTCCACTCCATTCAAGCAGGTGACAAAATTACCCTCAAGAGAGCACATGGCAGGTGCTTTGTTTATTGTACAATTGCAATTAGTGCTAGGTAAGGGTGAAGCTCTGCTCTGAAGGAGGTGCCACCCCTTGGTAGAAGGCTGGTCTCTATTCACTCCTCACTTCCCAGGGATAGACAGGTAGGTAGGTAAGTAGAAGGGTGCTTGACCAAGTGGCTTTACATCTTGACATGGTTACATCACCTTCTGGAGAGATGACATCCACCTTGCGAGGACAGGCAAGAGGGCACAGCATGGATAGAAGGGATTAGGCCTCGTGTCCACTGTGGCGAGTGAATCAAAGAGCATACAGTATTTGTTTCTGGAGGATTGATGCTGATGTGTTGTTCTGATCTCAGTAGGTCTAACAGCTTGTGAAGTTAAGTGGTGAATTGCCATTTCTTTGTGTTTGTGGTCGGAGTCATCAGTACTGACAGTAACTGACTGCATTTGGCTTAGAAGCATGCAATTATTTGTTTTACTATTTGATCACATAAACTGGACCTATCATATTCCCTGAACCTAAGGTTGTATTTCCTAGACCAGTGTTCATATTATCTGGACCTAAGATTTTATTTCCTAGACCAATGTTCATATT